CGTCACACCCATTAGTACCGTTGGATCCGATTGATCTCAGTCGTCCACAGCCCAGCTCACCCGTCTATAAATAGGGTCATTGGGGCCCTATTTCATTTGTCCCTATGTTTGAAGAGGAGTCGGTGCTTTTGAGATCATAGAGCTCGGTGTGGTTGAAGTGGTCGATGTAGTCGGTGAGGTTGGTCTTTCTGTCTTTGGTGAATCGTTCTTCCCCCCATCTTGTCTTTTCCTTTTCAATTATGTCTGATGTTGAGTATGAGGGGGAAAGGTATCCTGTCGGCCAGGCCGAGGAGGGGACCTAGGCTCAGGAATGACGAGGTTCTCATAAAGGGGCCTCATCCTCCCATCATCTATCTACACAAGACTAAGCCCGAGTTTGGTCCCACAGAATTATCTGCCAAGGACGTCTATGAGCTCATAGTTCAGTACAGGATCCTAGACCAATTCAGTTATTTCCTTCCTTTGGGATGATATCCCTAGTTACACTATGAGAACGAGGTCATCGTCTTCGAGGAGGCTCTAAAGGCAGGTTTCCAGTTCCCTCTTCATTCATTCACTCCCAAGGTGTTGAACTATTAAAACATCACCTTGGGCCAGCTTCATCCTAACTCCGTTAGGATGGTCAACACCATTTCCTTCTATCACCATGTTGCTTCCCTTTAAATATTTAGACCTTTGTTGGCACATGCTAGTTGAAAAGGAATCTCATTGAGAAGTACAATTATTACCTGTCCTACTGCTCTAGCTGTAAATTGTTGGGTAGCTTCCCTTCCAAGGCTCAAGACTGGAAGAGGAAGTACTTCTTGGATCTCAACGGCAGATGGCCATTCTCTATAGTATGGAGGGAAGGCACCAGGGATGCCGAGGAGGAGACCCTGAGTGAGCGCTTGCAGGTGAGAGTGCAAGTTCTAGTGAACAGGAGGTCATAGGTGAGTGAATTCTTGTCCAAGGAGAAGTTGATCCAGGTTGGGCTGAGTCCTTCGGGTAGGTTGTTGTGCCAGACTCAGGCATTTTACTTCTTTGATTTTCTGACTTGGCAGTTTGGCTCACCTCAGTTTTCTTGTGCAGGAGACATGTCGGGTGTACCTACTTTAGGGCTCTTCCAAGCGATGAATAGGAAGAAGAGGAAGGTGGCTCCTCAGGTGTCCCCTCAAGTTGTTGCTCCCAAGCCTATTGGGTGGAGTGCTGCTAAGGTCGTGCCATTAGTCGACTTGGTAGAGGAAGATTGGCCAGAAGGGGTTGCATCAGGGTTTGGAGCCGTTCGGGCTACTAAGGTGGATCAACCACCCCCCAAGGTCGAGGCAACTGCCACATTAGGGGCCGAGTCTAGGGCCGAGGAGAGGCATTCCATCATGGACTTCCGAATGACTTTAGAGAAGAGCCAGTAGGTTGTCTTTCCTAAAGAGGTCAAGGAGCTTCGCGAGTGGTGCCCCAGCCAAATCACTGGAAGAGCCATGTGTTACCTAATGGTGGTAAGGGTCAAACTTCCTCATTTATACTTAACATGCTCATCATTCCTTACTGATTCTTGATCTTTCTTCTTCTTTCTCAAGCAAACACCCTAATACATGCCTTGCTGGGGTAGGCCAAGGTGTGTGTGGTGAGGGTCGAAGCCTTGGAGAAGGAGGTAGCAGTGTGCAGAGCTCATCTTGAATGGGTCATCAAGCTTATCATTGACATGAAAGCCAAGCTAGTATAGGAGCAAAGTAAGAGCGGTGACTTGGCAGTGGGATCGAGAAGCTGACTGGTGAGTTGGAACAAAATCGTCATGAGCTAGTGAAAAAAAAGTCGAGCTCGCAGAGAGAAGATCAAAGTTCGCCAAAGACATTTGTGCCATTGGGGTTTGTGTAATCTAGGAATTTCAAGATTCCATAGAATTTCAGAATGACGGGGAAGAGTTTGGTACTGGTGCCTATTGCCATAGGTTCAAGTTATACAGGATGCTTGTGGCCTTAGTGTGTCTAAAATTCGACCTAGGGAAGCTGAAGAGATCGACATGCACCAACAAGATGATGACCAAGGTTGATCAGGAGCCCGACTTTGAGGAGGAGGACAAAGTTGAAGGCATTGTAGGGGATGGTGTTCGTGTCGAAGTAGCAAGCTTTGGGGGCAACGACGAGCCCCAAAACAACTGATTTTATTGCCTCATTTCTTAGACCTCCCATACATTTGCTATGTATTCTAAGCCTCCAAGCTCGATTCTTCATATTTCTTGTTCTTTTTATTTTTTTGTAGCACTGATGTAAACCACTCTTTTTGACAAGTAATGAAATTTATTTTCCTCGAGTGTCGAGTTCCCTTTTGTGCCTATTATTTTCCAAGACTAGGTGCAAACATGTCGTTACCTACATGACACTAAGGTGTTATACAACGGTATGATGGTGCCACGTGGTGTAATATCCACTAGAAGGCCAAATTGCCCCTCATTAGTCATATTTAGGTTGCATTTGTTTGCGGTGTAAATACAAACTAGTGTAATTAAACACTTTGATCTGTATTTGTCGATGTTTGGGTGGAGTGTAGTTAAACATAAAAAATCGATGTAAAACTCCACTCAGATCGAGTTTAACCGATATAAATACAACTTCGATAAAAACAATGTAAATATTTACATTAATAATCACACTTTTCGGTTTACAATGGTCCATAACTATAAATTGATCAATGTACTTTTACTTTTACACTGCATTCAAATGCAGCAGAACGTAAAGAGTATATCCCATTTTAAGTGAAAATATAAGTAGAAAGCGAGGCATACAATGTGAAGAGTATATCTAATTTTGTCATAGATAATAGAGTGATGTTTGGCATCGCCGATGATTCTTCCTTATTGATTTTTCAAAAATTGGTGGTTTTTGAAATCAATGTTTCTTTTTTTTCAAAAATTGATAAATTTTGTTATTTGGTATCATTTATGCCACGTAAGCCAATTTTTAAGAAATCGATTTTAAATTTGTTTGATACTGATTCTCAAGAATTGATTATTTTTGTATTAAAGTTATTATTTAATACCATGTTGAATGTCATGCCATATCCTCAAAAAATCATAATCAATTAGAAATTAGGAAATCACTAAAAAAAGTGATCCCTAAAAAGGGGTGATAACAAAAATAGATTTTTGGCTGAATTCTTGAAAATCACTAAAATTAGCCAAGTACTATGTTGATTCCTTTAGTATTGACGTGGGACCCTGGCATTAGGGGTGTAAACGGGTCGAATCCAAATTGGATCAGGCATATCTGAATTTGAATCCAATTAGAAAAATCCGATATCTGGATTTGATTCGATATTCAACGGATATTAAAAATTAATATCCGAATATGAATCCGATTAAATAATCGAATATTCGATTCGATTAATTAATTATTTTAGATAATTAATAAATATATAAAAAAATTATTGATATAAAGTAATAAATATATAAATTATTTATATAACTTAATTATTATATATAAATTATATAAAATATTTTATATATTATATATAAGAATTATATAATCGGTTAAATTCATATATTTATCGAATGGAATCAGGTCATATCCAAATTCAAATCCAATTAACTATTCAGTAAGAATAAGATATCTAAATTCAACTGACTAAATATTTGAATTATTCAAATTTAATTCAATTATGTTAAATATCAAATTCGAAATCAGATTTTCAAATACCGTTGACACCCCTACCCGAGTGATTTTCAAAAGATCATCATCAATGCCATATATCATTAGATCTTTCCAAACGTGAAAGCACGTGACGAGGGACGCTGAATTTAAGTGTAGGAATGACTATAGGAAAGTTCAGGAAATTTGAACTCCTGTTCTCGGTTGGGACCTGCCATGACGATTCCAGGTAGCCAAGTCAGATTTTCTCCTGAAAGGAGTTGGATTAGATTTGCAACTTTTCAGTTTTAACTTTTCACCCACAATATCAGAATGGCCGTAACTTTTGACTCTAGGCTATTATACCATACCTTAGATATTACTTTTGTAACCAAATCTAATAATCTGTAACCAACCATCTTTGTGCTTAGCATTACAATATATTTCATGGTACCAATCTAATGGCAGTAGCCTAATGTGTAAAAGCCTGCGCCGAAGATTTAATCACCACCCAAAAAAATCGGCTCAGAATTGAATTGCCACAAAAGGCCAAAGTTGAAAGACGTGACTGCTTTTGGAGCCGCCTTCTAGGACATCGCGGCTTCAGAGTTCAGAGTCTTTAGACCGCCTAAAGCAACAGAAGATTCCAGACTTTTAGGGTCGACCAGGAACTCTAGATCCCGTGTCTTACACGACTACTCTACTCTGTCGGTTTGTCACTTTTCTTTCTTCGGTCTTCTCTGCAATAGTCTAGTCAAATAGAGCCCAGAGACGACAGATCAACTATTCCGGACCGGTCGCATCGTATCTCTCCCTCCTCTCTGTGCTCTCTGTACGTGAGAGTTCCGATGCAAGATCAAAAATTTGACGTCAAAGCGAGGGCATAAATGGAAACATAAGTTGCATTCCAAAACCACCAGCGTCTAACGACTAACGTTACTTGGCAGTTTTTTGTGCAAGCCACCATTTAACAACGGTCGACCAACTGAAAAGAAAAGATCGTATACTTGTTGCGTTACTGGATTTACCTACGCTACTCGTTCCTAAATGTACAAATGGTACAAATTTTATTGTCAAATAATGAAAACATGTTACAAAGGTGGCTTATTAGTGTAACGAAACTGGTGTGAGTCACGCTGATTGGATGATCGAGATTGCTTTTGTGTCAGCAGATCAATGCCTGTTCCACTGGTCGAGATTGATTTGATGGAACACGCGGGAAGATCCTTAGCGTGGACACGTAACGAGAACGTATCCTACTTCTACCCTATTTGAAAAGAAAACCGTTACCAAAGGTCCTCAACCAACCTTTGATCCAGATGCCACGTCATCTCTTAGTTCAGCCAGCTGGCTGCGGGTCCCATCGACCTTTTCCGCCCAACCTCATATTGCTGGCCTTTTTTCCCGCTTGCAGGAGGAAGTCCTGCGAATGCGAAGTCGAGGCATCTGCTGTTTGGCGTTGCTGAGCTGAGAACCTCTTTCTCTCTCTCTCTCTCTCTAAACTCTCGTGGCTTCTGGTGCGAATCTATACATAGCCAAACAGTAAAAGGAGCTTCAGCCTTCAGCTTCTCTTCGTCTTCAGGTGATGGATTCCATATGGAGCACGTTAACATCGGTGGCGCCCTACATAACAAGTCTCATTGCGCTTCTACTTCTGCTGGAGCAGGTCAAGTACCTGAAGAAGAAACGCTCACTCCCTGGGCCTCTTCTGGTCTGGCCATTCGTGGGCAGCGCTATCTCACTGGTCCTCAACCCCGTTAAGTTCTGGGACGTCCAGGCTGCCCTGGCCAAATCCTCCAGTCTGGGCGTCTCTGCTAACTACATCATTGGTCGCTTCATCGTCTTCATTCAGAACACCGAGCTCTCTCACCAGCTCTTCGCTAATGTACGTCCCGACGCTTTCCACCTCATCGGCCACCCTTTCGGGAAGAAGCTATTCGGCGAGCACAACCTTATTTACATGATGGGTCAGGACCACAAGGATCTCCGGCGTCGGATTGCTCCTAATTTCACCCCCAGAGCACTGGCTACTTACATCTCTCTGCAGCAGAGGATCATTCTTCAGCACTTCAAGAAATGGGAGTCTCTTTGTTCCGGTAACCCGTCCAAGCCCATCGTGCTTCGTCTTCTCTGTCGCGACATGAATCTCGAGACCTCTCAGACCGTCTTCGTCGGACCTTATATGACCAAGAAAGCTCGAGAAGATTTTGAAAGGGATTACAATCTCTTCAATGTTGGCCTGATGAAGTTGCCCATCGATCTCCCCGGATTCGGCTTCCGGAAAGCGAGGCTCGCCGTCAGCCGACTGGTGAAAAGCCTGACCGTGTGCGCTGGCCAGAGCAAGTCGAAGATGAAATCGGGAAAGGAACCATCTTGTCTGATCGATTTCTGGATGCAAGAGGCCGTGAAGGAGATCGATGCTGCGTTTGAAGCCGGGGAGTCTTCTCCGCCGCGGCATACCAGTGACGTCGAGATTGGCGGGCATATTTTCGACTTCCTGTTCGCCGCGCAGGACGCTTCGACGTCATCGTTGCTCTGGGCTGTGACGCTCTTGGACTCGCATCCGGATGTACTCGCGAAGGTCCGAGCAGAGGTTTCTAGTATCTGGTCTCCGGAATCTGACACACTCATAACGGCGGAGCAGTTGACGGAGATGAAATACACCCAAGCGGTGGCCAGAGAAATCGTCAGGTTCCGAGCCCCCGCGACGCTTGTGCCGCACATCGCCGGAGAAGATTTCCAGCTGACGGAATCTTATACAATCCCGAAGGGAGCGATAGTTTTCCCATCCGTCTTCGAGTCGTCGTTCCAAGGCTTCACCGATCCGGACCGGTTCGACCCGGACCGGTTCTCGGAGGAGAGACAAGAAGACAGGATGTACAAGCGAAACTTCTTGGCGTTCGGTGCTGGGGCACACCAGTGCGTTGGACAGCGCTACGCCCTGAACCACCTGGTGCTATTCATCGCCATGTTCACGTCCATTCTTGATTTCAAGAGGCACAGAACGGACGGTTGCGATGACATCGCGTATGTCCCCACCATCTGTCCCAAGGACGATTGTCTGGTCCACCTCTCGCGAAGGTGCGCACGTTACCCTTCCTTCGAACAAAGCGTCATTTTAAATGATTAAAAAAAAGAAAAATAATTAATAAAAGCCAGGTGGAGAGGGTGGCGCCTACTACTACTAGCTCAGCAGTCAGCAGGTAGATCGAGATGCTGACACAAACTGTAAAAGTCTGAGGAATTCAGAGACAGATCTTCTGCTCAACCATTTGGTGTTGTTGTGGAATGTGGAGGTAGTGCAGAATCACAGGATGTTTTTGTCGGGGTGCTGTGTATAATTGATGGACGATAGAGATTCTTTATTCTAGGATAGATGTATTTGTGATTGGATTTATGGTGGCGGGAGTTTCAAATAAATGGGATGTACGTTAATAGCATACAACGTGATCCAGTGTGATTATTTTTGTTCTTCTTGTTTTTTATACGTTATTTTTTTTCTTATTAAAGAAGTGAAAATGAGTAAATGAGTAATTATTATTTTCAGACTTCCGACTGGTGTGAGTGGTCATCTATTGAAAAGTTAGGTCAACCAATGGTTGAAATTTGAGATTTTCCGAATCCCTAGACGTAGCATTTCATCCAGATCCAGTGATGGAGATCCATAGTTCTGATCTTCTTCGTGTACATTGATTGGAACCTTACTGTCCATGAAGATGGTTTGACTTTGACCTCAGCTCCATTCCATTATCGGACTGGGACTCTTTGGAAAGTTGGCATTTGATAGTCACGAGTAAAACAAGTAGAGGATACAAACTTGGGAGGTGTACGAGTCTGGTGCTTGGTCAAAATCTTGACCAAACTCAAACATGATTCTCAACAGATTCCAGTCCAACCTGTCGTGTAGCGCAGTGCATCATGATTGCTCGAGTAGTAGAACTGTAGGAAATTCAAACTCTGAGGAATTTATTTATGAGATTGAGATGTTATTCCATCTGAACTATACGGGTTGAATGCTAATTGGCACCCGAGAGTACATCTGAACATACGTGATACTTACGTCCAACACAAGGATGAAAACCCATTACAACTACCCATTTTGGATTTGAGGCTGTGTTTGGTTGCACTGCAATTTTATTTGCACTAGCCACTGGTACAAATGCATGAGTGCAAATGAAAAAATTGTAAATTCTCATTTAATTTTGTTTTAGATTTAATTTTATTTTACTTTCATTTACATTGCAATCAAACAAATAAGCTAAATTTTTTTATCAAAAAAAAAACAAAATAAGCTAAAATTTAAAACAAAAATAGGTCAGAATTTACACTTGAATCATTTACACTGCATAGTTTTGCATCAGTGCAAATTTCTTTGTATTGCAACCAAACACAATTTTAGGCTCAATTTGAAAAGAGTATAAACTATAAATACAAATATGTAGAGTGCAAAGCGTTGAGGGCGGATTTGGCCCTCCAGTCACGTCGTGACACATGGCATCTCAAAACGACTAGATGACACCTAAACACCACTTAAGTGATGATTTGGAGTCCCATATCGTGGCTCGTCTTTACCCCGACCTAGTAACCTGCCTTTACCCCCGACCTGGCAACTTTGACCATAATTTAGGTCGGCTTGCAGCACTTCGTCTAGGGTTAGCTTGTAGAACCTCGTCACCGACCAAAGTGACCTCGACACAAGGAGCGACCTCCCTCGAGGGCTTACCGACCTGATTGGGGACCAAGCGGTGACTTGCGAGATGTGCTCGCCGACAAATTCGGCATGCATATCCCAACACTCCCAGGCTTTTTGGAAGTTGGCCCACATACCGAATGTTCTGGAGGATGGTCAACGTGCATAGTAGTTACCTCCGAGGATCTCGGACTGGTTAGGCACGACCTCCTAGAAATCTCGGATACGGTGCGTGAGGCCCACACCAAACAATAGGGTGCTGCCAAAAAACAATAGGGTCTAGCAAAAATCTTCTACTTCAGCCTCTGAGTCATCGACCACCTAGAAGTAGTCCGAACAATAGGGTGCTGCCAAAAAACCCTTCATCAATTGGCGTCGTCTGTGGGAAACACTACAAGAAGCTAAGTTCTCACCTTTAAAAAGCTAAGACCTCACCTTTTAGAAATTAACACCCAAAACGAATACCTATTACTGGGGGGCAAGAACATCTGTGATGAACCTTGAGAACTCCCCTGTGACAATTAGACAAATTCAGGCTGAACCCAGCATTCCCAGTGCCCCAGATAAATATACCGCTACCGCATGTGAACACCCCTTCTCCCCGTGGTAGAACTATTAGCGGTTCCCGTCGGGATTAAAGCGTGGAAATTCTATGAGATGAAGCATGAATTTCCATATTAGAGCATGGGAGAAGCTCAATGTAGATAGAAGCAAAATGACCTCAACTCATCCTCAATAGCAATAAGCCAGGACGAAGCCTTATCAGCCCTGTTTCGCAAGGTCGCCTCTACAAGTCGAGCACTTCGTGGCTCCCACAAAACCTAGCGGCCAATGGACTGCATGGACGCCCTTGCAGGTCAAGCCTTCCAAGGCTCCCATGCAAGCTAGCGACATAAAGTCAGTAGTGCTGCCCCCACAAGTTGAGCTCCCAATGGCTTCTTGTAGAAGTGGATGACCGGCATCACTACGAGGCTGATGCAGTGTAGCTGTGGCCCCGAACTGCCGACTCATGGCGATGACAACTTTATGTATCAACAACCCTCACAAGGGGGAGCAGAACATGTACGTTGTGATCTCGCAAGCACTCATACAAAAAGATAATCCCATGGGAAGACATAGAAGCAACCATATGAGAAGTTACTACAGAATGACCACCCACTTAGGCGGAAAGGTCAGGCCGCACGTCGGCTAAATAATGTTAAGGAGAGTGGACTACGAGTCGCTCCCAGAGCCTAAGGGCTAAGGTGCCGAACTCATAAAAGACCGACACCACATGAGACCTAATTGCCTCTTCGGCATGGGCAACGTCGAGGATAAGGAGAGTGGACTGTGGGTCGCTCCCAAAGCCTAAGTGCTAAGGTGCTAAGCTCATAAAAGACCTCGGCACCACATGTGACCCATTCGCCTCTTTGGCACGGGCAACATCGAGGATAAGGAAAGTGGACTGTGAGTCGCTCCCAGAGCCTAAAGGCTAAGGTGCCGAGTTTATAAAAGACCTCAACACCACATGAGACCCAGTCACCTCTTTGGCATGGGCAGCATCGAGGATAAGGAGAGTGGACCGCGAGTCGCTCCCAGAGCCTAAGGGCTAAGGTGCCGAGCTCATAAAAGACCTTGGCACCACATGAGACCTAGTCGCCTCTTTAGCATGGGCAAGATCAAGGATAAGGAGAGTGGACTGTGAGTCGCTCTCAGAGCCTAAGGGCTAAGGTGCCGAGGTGATAAAAGACCTCGGCACCACATAAGGCCCATTTGCCTCTTTTGCATGGGCGAAACAAAAAGTAGTTCGCACTCAACACGAGAAAGAGAACAAAGGAAAGACTAGTTCTCTCTTAGCACCATGATGGATGCAAACTTGGACTATCTTTTCACTTTGGTTCCAGGCTCCGTGTTGAATTCATTGGCTGCTCTTTTGAGAACCAGTTCGAGTGACATTACGTCGAAGTGTACTTCTGTGGAGCGACCTAATAAAGCAATCACATGGTTAGAACCTCTTCTTGAGGACGGCATGAGGAGCTCTGCTCTTGAGGTAATAGGTCAGATTGCAGAACCCCTTGGTGGTTGCATCCCTAATAAGGTAGATGTCCTCAGAATACCTGCTTCACCTCTCCTCGAGTGGATGAGTCCGCTTTCGTGCCTCAAAAATCAAGACGGCAAGGTCTTGCGTAAGGCTACAAACACTTGAATTCTTCCGACCTGAGAAGCAAATTGAACTAACGCATACGACTACGAGCTCATCAAACAATCATTTCGGGCCAAAAGGAATGACCTACTCCCTTCGTCGAGCTGCCCTCAGCTCGGGAGTGGGGGGCAATTGATGAGGGTGGATTTGGCCCTCCAGTCACGTCGTGACACATGGCATCTCAGAACGGCTAGATGACACCTAGACATCACCTAAGTGATGATTTGGAGTCCTAGATCGCGGCTCGTCTTTACCCCAACTTGGCGACTTGCCTTTACCCCCGACTTGGCGACTTCGACAACTTAGGTCGGCTTGCAACACCTCGTCCAAGGTCAGCCTGTAGCACCTCGTCATCGGACAAAGTGACCTCGACGCGAGGAGCGACTTCCCTCGAGGGCTTACCGACCTGATTGGGGACCAGGTGGTGACCTGCGAGATGTGCTCGCCGACAAATTCAGCATGCATATCCCGATGCTCCCAAGTTTCTCGGAAGTTGGCCCATGTACCGAATGTTCCGGAGGATAGTCAACGTGCATGGTAGTTACCTCCGAGGATCTCGTACTAGTTAGGCACGACCTCCCAGAAGTCTCGGATGTGGTGCGTGAGGCCCACACCAAACAATGCCTATATAAATGCACCAACCCCAATGACACAAGAGAAGCGAGTAAGCACATTCTAGCTCTCATACTTTATGATTTTTTAGCTCACGATCTACTATGAGAATACTAACTTAATCATCGGAGCGATCTCACCGGGTTAGCCACCCCGGGTCCTCTAACATTGATTCCTTGCAGGTTTCTCTGAAAAGCTACCTAGCTCAGCAATCAACCTAACTCGACACCCAATCTACCCCCAGCTCGGCCTAGTCAACTCGGCATCCATGTCCTCATCCAACAAAAATCCTCTACTTCGGCCTCTAAATCATCGGTCACCTAAAAGTAGTCCGAACAGTAGGGTGCTGCCAAAAAACCCTTAACCACAAAGCATTTTATTTTTGTATATATTTGAACTATACGTATTTATATTTATACTCTCTCCAGACTAGTCTTAAAGGGCGTCCTAGCTCAAACAAATTCATATGTTTAAGTTCCAATTGATGTCTTGTTGGCCCACTATTTCCACGGGTCCCGTTCCACAGCTCTCGTCATTTTCATCCCAAAGAGCCTTGTCGAAATAGAAACCAAGGTTCAAAGCATCTATTTGATAAAATAAGTTAATCGGTAGGGCCGGTGATATTTAGTGTGATATGTGGACATGACTTGAATACGACGTGAAATTAATGGATTTGGGTTTATTTTCATCATATTTGTATTAAAATCATTTCAAATTGTTCAACATGTCAATTTACAAAATTAACCCACTTGACTCTAAAATGATTTATTTATGATGTGAAGTTTCAAGTATTATATTATGTTGTTACATTTGCATGAAATACTATTATGACAAGTAAGGATGATGACGATGCGTGATTTGATGCTCCTTGTTATTAGATGGTTTGGATGTTAGATTTAGTAGGTCGTTTGGTTGAGCTGCAAGAAAGTGATTATCAGAGTGTTTGGGTAATTTAAATCAGGGTGGATATTCCGATGCTTAAGTTAGCGAGCTAGTAGTTTATAAGAAAGCAAGAGAGCTAGAAAATTGCGAGAGCTAAATCGCATGTAGTTATGAGGTTGGAGGTGA